TTTTTTTTAAATATATTTTTTATTGTTTTTTTAGAGAGGGGGGGGGGGGGGCAGGGGGGGGGGGGGAGAGAGAGCAAGAGAGAGAGAGAAAGAGAGAGAGAGAGAGAGAGAGAGAGAGAGAGAAATATTGATGTGAGAGAGAAACATTACAGGCCAATGCTCTATCCACTGAGCCAAACCAGCTAGGGCTGCCAGAGCTTTTTTTATCCACTCATCTACTGATGGGCACTTAGGCTGTTTCCAGATCATAGCTATCTATACATATAAAAGGCTAAGTGACCATCTGACCAGTAGCTATGATACGCAATGACCACCAGGGGGCAGAGGCTCAATGCAGGAGCTGCCCAGCTTCCGTGACTTATCAGCGGCAGTTCTTGGGTGACGCACCCGGAACCAGAGAGGAAGGAGCCCGATTCTGAGGTGTGTCACCCAAGAACCGCCCTCTTGCAATCTGGGACCCCTCAAGGGATGTCAGAGAGCCAGTTTCGGCTGATCCCCGCAGGCCAGGCCGAGGGACCCCACCTGCAGGAGGGATCCTGTGCCCTCTGCAGACACCCTTCAAGCCCTGTACTGCCCCAGGTGCAGCCAGCCGCTGGCAGCCGGCCAGGAAGGGACAGCAGGGGGTTGGCTCCAGGGCATGTTTAGCCCGTCTTGCCCAGTCCCGCCCCACTGGCCACCTTCTAATTAATTTCCTTTCAATGTGCACGAATCCGTGCACCAGGGCACTAGTTATAAATAACAGTGAAGGCCTGGGAAGGGGCCGGAGCTGGATGGAAATGGGCAAATGGGGGACATCTGTAATACTGTCAACAACAAACAATTAACACAAATATTTACACTGATTATTCAAGTCCTTGTCATGTTGCTTTTAAAAATGATACCTGCAGTGGGGGTGCATCTTTTTTAAAAAATATATTTTGATTGATTTCAAAGAGAAAGGGAGAAGGAAAGAGAGATAGAAACATCAGTGATGAGAATCACACCCCACACTCGGATTGAGCCCACAACCCGGGCATGTGCCCTGCCTGGGAATGGAACTGTGACCTCCGGTTCATAGGTCGATGCCCAACCACTGAGCCAAGCCGGCTGGACCATCTGTGCATCTGTTCCTTTAATGGAAACGACTTTAGGATTTCACCATTTAAAGTGGCATTTGCCGTGGTTTTGTGGTTAGCCTTACCATCTTTAGTACTATTCTATCTATTTTTATAAGTTGTTATTAGAAATAGCCATTGCAGCCCTAGCCGGTTTGGCTCAATTGATAGAAAGTCGGCCCGCGGACTGAAGGGTCCCAGGTCCTATTCTGGTCAAGGGTATATACCTTGGTTGCAGATTCCCTGGCCCTGGTCGGGGTGCGTGCAGGAGGCAACCAATCAATTTGTCTCTCACATCGATGTTTCTATCTTTTCCTCTCCCTTCCACTCTCCCTAAAAATCAATGGAAAAATATCCTCAGGTGAGGATTAACCAACCCCCCCCCCAAAAAAAAAGAAATAGCCATTGCATTTGATAAAACACCTTTTTTAAAAATATATTTTTTTATTGATTTCAGAGGAAAGGAGAGAGAGAGATAGAAACATCAATGATAAGAAAGAACCATTGATTGGCTGCCTCCTGCACGTCCCCTACTGGGGGGGAGGGGGGGATCGAGACTGCAATCGGGCACAGTGAATCGAACTTGGGACCCTTTAGTCCGCAGGCTGACGCTCTATCCAGCTCTATCCACTGAGCCAAAGCGGCTACAGCGATAAAACACCTTTTTGACATTTTTTTGGAAAAACCATAAGCTGCCTTTTTAATTTCTAGATAATAATGAATTACCTTGGTGATTTATACATATTGAGCCATTCTTACACCCTAAGTCCTGCTTGCCTATAGTATTCTTTTGATAACTGATCATGATTTTTTAGAATATTTGTATTTTATTCATGAGTTTTCATTTTCACAATCCACACAAACCCACACGACTCTCTCTAAGGCCTCTTTTTGTCCCCTCCCAGCCACCCATGTTTTAACTGAGAGAGAGTGAACATACCAACATGTCCCACTTACACATTCATTAGTTGTTTCTTGTGTGTGCCTGACCAAGGGAGGGCACCCGCAACCTTATTGTATCAGGGATGACATTCTAAACAACTGAGCTACTTGGCCAGGGCCTATACTGACTTCTAATTGCAGAGCTTAACTTCTGTTCCCTTTTAATTTCTTAGAGTTGGAATAACCAATTTTTTTTCTTTCACTCAAAATAATATATGTGAGATACATGTATATCGCTGAGCTCCTTTTTTTGTAGCTGTGTTGAATGTGTTACATTGATTTACAAATAAGTCAATAATTATATTGATATTTATTTATATTGATACCAGAGGCCGAGTGCATGAAATTTGTGCACAGGTAGGGTCCCTAGGTCTGGCCGGTGATCAGGGCCGATTGAGGCCTTCTGGCTGCTGACTGGGGCCTTCCTTCCAGCTGCCGGCCAGGACCTTCCTTCATTCTGCGCCTCCCCCTGGTGGTCAGCGCATGTCATAGCGAGCGATTGAACTCCTGGTCTCCGGGTCAAACTCCCGAGGGGACACTTTGTATATTAGCCTTTTATATCTATTGATTAATATGCAGTTGATTTATTTATTTTTCTGTTGATGGGTATAAACAGTTAGACCTCTTAAGTATATTCATCAGTGTGGATTATGTTGCCTTCAAGATACTGACAATTTCCCCAAGTGGTCCATATTAAAAATATATACATTTTCATTGATTACAGAGAGGAAGTAAGAGGGAAAGAGAGAGATAGAAACATCAATGATGCAAAAGAATCATTGATTGACTGCCTCCTGCACACACCACACGGGGGGTTGAGCCTGCAACCTGGGCATGTGCCCTAACCAGGAATCGAACCATGACCTCCTGATTCATAGGTTGACGTTCAACCACTGAGCCATGCCGGCTGGGCCATATTTTTTATTTTAGCCATTCTTGTGGATCTGGATACTACTTCTAATGACTGGATAGTGTACAAGTGTTCTGTTGATGAATTTAAGCAACATCTTGTTGATAAGCATTTGGATTGTTTTCAGTTTTTAGTCTTCTAAATAATATAGTGATGAACATTCTGGAACACCCTTCTTCATGCATTTGTAACTGACCTCCTAGCAATCACCTTTTTGGTTATTTCCAGTTGTTTTTGTTTTTACAAAATAACACCAGAATGCGCTTTCTTGTGCATTCATCTTTGTGGACTTAAAAGTTTTGGGTTTTCTTGAAATTTTAATTTTTGCTTTTAACATCTCTCATGTTGGTCTTGAGCACAGAGCCAGCCCAGGGCAGTGTTGTTGCATGTTGCATGGGATGAAGGGCTGAAGGCTGCTTACTCTTGCAAGCTGGCTTCTGAGATTGCACCTTCTCTTCCTGCTCCTCCTCCAACTCTATGACCCACTAAGGCAGTGGTTCCCAAACTTATTTGGCCTACCGCCCCCTTTCCAGAAAAAATATTACTCAGCGCCCCCTGGAAATTAATTTTTTTTAAATTTTAATAGCAATTAAACAGAAAGATATATGTATTAATGTTTCTACCTTTTTCGTAAAATATAGTAAAGAAAGGTGTAAAGTAGAAACATTGAAGTTTGAAATTATGAAACTATTTATTGAACTCAGAATAGAAAGGTAATACAAAAAAAGTTAAAACAAATGCACCTGTGGCCATCACCGCCCCCCTGGATCGCTGCAGCGCCCACCAGGGGGCGGTAGCGCCCACTTTGGGAATCACTGCCCTAAGGTATGAAGGTGGCTGGGCGAGGGTCTGACTGGTCCAACCAGAAGGGGGCGGGGGACTTCAGCTAGACAGGCTCCAGGTTGTGAATCAGGATTGCTTGACAGCATCCCAACCCTCTCTGCACCAAGGTACTTCTGAAAACCACAGTCATTTCCTCATTCTTCTTCCACCTGCCATTAATCTATCCATCATCTGTCAGTCATGCACCATCCATTCACGGATCCATTCATCAGCCCACCAATACCTTCAGCTCTCTCCATTTGCACACTCATTATCTACTCAGATTTTACCTATCCATCCACAAATCCATACCTCTATCTTTCCATCCATTCCTCAGTCCATCTACCACCCATCTACCCCTCCATCCCTCCATCCCTCCAAATACCTATCCATCTACCTACCCATCCATCCACCAGACACCCATTTACCCACTCACCTACCCATCCACCCATCTATTCATCCATCCATATACTCATCCTCCTACTTAGCCATACACCCCTCCATCCATGTGTCCATTTCTTTAAAAAAAATTTTTTCAAATTGATTTCAAAGAAGAAGGCAGAGGGAGAGAAGGATAGAAACATCAATGATGAGCGAGAATCATTGACTGGCTGCCTCCTGCACACCCCCTACTGGGAATCAAGCCCACAACCCGGGCATGTGCCCTTGACCGGAATCAAACCCAGGACCCTTCAGTCCGAAGGCCGACGCTCTATTCACTGAGCTGAACCGGCGAGGGTGTCCATTTCTTTATGTATTGATCCGTTCATAAATTCATCAGCTTCATTAACGCATCCATTCTTTCATTCAACCTTTCATCCATCCCTCCAACTGATCTACCATTCATTCACCCACAGATTTACCTATTCAGTATTAAGTCATGCATTCATCTATCCATTCGACTTTCAGTCCACTCACCCACTCATTTATTAGTTAAGTTAGTCACTCACCCAACACCTACCCATTCACATCCTGAAACCAGACTCTATGACTGAGATGGGGACACAGAAGTGACTCAGACCTGTTTCTTGCCCTCTAGGAATTGATAGTCATTAGGGAGAGGGAAATAACCATCACACACACACACACACACACACACACACACACACAGAGGAAGTTCCCAAAATAGTGTGTGATCAGTGCTGTGCTCACAGTATGTTCCAGATACAGGAGGCCAGGATAGGGAGGGCTGCAATGGGCAGGAGAAAGATTACAAGGTCCCAGGCACAGGATCTAGGTCCCGGGGCAAGCACTTGCTCCAGCCAGGACCCCTCGTGTCTGCACAACTCCTCTCTCTGACTACCTCCCTGCCACCCCACAGGCAGAGTTGATCCACCTAGGAACCAAGACAATGCCACAAGCAACACAGTTACAGTTTTCACCTAGTGGGCAGAGCTCCGACCAGCCCAACCCCAATTACCAAGACAAGGCAGAGACACCTGAATCCAGGGAGACCCTCCCGCAACAGCCTGACAAGGGCAAGATTCCACGCCTCCGGAAGGTGGTCGAAAGCAAGGCCTTCAGGAACATCCTGGTGGACGAGATGGACATGATGCGGTCTCGCGCCGCCACCCTCATCCAAGCCAACTGGAGGCGCCACAAGCTCCGGCAGAAGCTGGTCTCCCAGGTGATGACGGCAAAAGGCGTCCAGGAGGCCTGGCGGCGCTTCAAAGCCAGGCGCCGCCTCTGGGCGGAGAAAAAAAAGTATGTGGACGAGGAGAACATCCCTTACCACCCGCCTCAACAGGTGCGGTTCCACCCTTCAGAGGAAGACAGGTATCTTCCGGCCCCACCTGTCATGGTGAATAAGGAGACCCAGTTCCCTTCTGACGACAGCTTGGCTGCCTGTGCCCACGAGCTGGCCCTGCTGCAGCCCGCGGGTGTTCCACCGCCCGGCATGCCAGCTCCTTGTGCCGCCGGAGGCCCTAGCGTCACTTTCGTGCCGCACCAGACTGTTTCCGTCAGACTTCCGTGTCCAGTGAGTCTGAGTGCAAAGTACCACCCATGTCTGCTAACAAGAACCATCAGAAGTACCAGCCTTCTCCACTTAGAAGGGGACATGACGAAGACCAAGCCAGCGACTGCCAGAGCCAGCAAGGCAGGAGCCCTCGGGCCACCGTGTGAAAGGATTGCCCAGACACTTCATGGCCCCCCCAAGGCCCAGACCCAGGCCCATGTGGAAGCAGAGGTCCTCAGAGCCCCACCCCAGACAGGCCAACCGTCTGTGATGACCAAGACTCCGCTCAAGTCGTGCTTGGCATCCATGATGAACAAATCCATACCCCAGCCAGGCCCAACACCCACGGTAATAATAGCCAAGACCCCACCTCAGCTGGACTCAGCAGTCCCAGTGGCCAAGACCACACTCCAGTCATGCCTGGCAGCAATCTTGAACAAGATCCCAACCCAGTCAAGCCCGATACCCACAATGATAGTGAGGACCCCACCCCAGCCGTGCCTGGCAGCCCCGGTGACCAAGACCCCAGCTCAGATGCGACCAACAGTCTTGGTGACCAGCACTGCACCCCAGACACAGCCGGCTGCCATGACCTCAATTTTCAAGCCCCCGACACAGACCTGCCCAATTCCCGTGATGGCCAAGACCCTGCCCCAGGTCCACCCAACAGCCACGATGGCCAAGTCCCTACTGCAGACATGTCCAGTGGCTACGACAGCCAAGACCCCATCTCAGATGCTCCCAGAAGCCTCAACGACCAAGACCCCTACCCAGACATGTCTGGCAGCCATGATCACCAAGACGCCAGCCCAGTTACGCTCAGTGGCCACTGTCCTCAGGAACCTCTGCCTGCCTCCTCCTGCAGATGGAAATCTGAAAGCTTCACCTCCAGCAGTTGTGGAGGATGGGATTCCCAATGCCTCGTCACAAACAAACCTAAACAGACCAAACGCCAAGGCTGTGGTGAGCGGGAGGCAGACGGCAGGCACGGTCAAAGTCTCGTCCCATTCACACTTGACGGAGGGAAAGGTGAAATACTGGCCCCCACCACATCTGGGGGCTGGGGCTCCCAAGGCTCCAGCGAGGCCTTTTTCGGAAGCCGAGAAAATCAGGGCCTTCTCCCAGAAACAGGTGAGAATAGCAACCATGTCTAACACCAGTGTGGCCGAGGACAGGAGCAAGGTCTTGTCGCAGGCACGCCTGAAAACAGATGTCATGAAGGTTCAGTCCCAGGTGGGCGTGCCTGTGGAAATGGCTGTGGTTCTGCCCCAAGCACGCCTGGGCACATGCCCAGCCAAGCCCCTGCCCCGAGCACAGAAGGCCACCTGTTCAACCACAGCCTCGCCCCAGAGACATATGCTTGCAAAGCAGACGAGAACCCCGCCCCAGGCAAATATCGTCCGGTGTCTGTCCAAGCCCCCATCCCAAGCACACCCACCTGCCAAGCTAACTACGGCCCCGTCCCTGGCCCATCCGGGCCCGTGTCCGACCAAGACGCAGTCCCAGGCACATCTGACCACAGAAGTGATAAAGGTCCAGTCTCAAGCACATCTGCCTGCGAGGCTGACCAAGGCACAGTCCCAAGCCCAGCTGGTCACAGAAACAGCCAAGTGCCTCTATGCTGCCCACCAGGCCGCTGAGCTCAGTAGCAAGACTCGGTCCCAGCCACTCCTGGCTGGGTTCAAGGCCTCCACCCAGCCCCATCAACACGCCGGCTCTCTTGGCACTTTGTCCCGAGCAAAGCCAGAGGACGGATTAACCCAGCTCCCAGCCCATAGCTGTGCCCAGGGCAAAGCTACCAAGGGCCCATGCGAGGAGGCCTCCAAGACCCCGAGCATGCTGGTGCCTCTGCTGGCGTCCACTGGACCTTCCGCATGCAACGTCGAATCCTGGGGTGACAGCCGGGCCACCCTGGCCCCGCCATCGGCCACAAGCCCAGCCGCGCCCTGCCAGGAGGAGCTGGGGGCCGCCCAGCTTGCCTCGCTGTGTGCTGAGTTGGCCACTGTGCTGGGCTCCCAGGAGGACATCCGTGCTCTGCTGGAGAAAGCTCTCCCCCAGGGGGAAGTGAGGGCGGCACTGAACCAGGCCCTGTCCAAAGAGATCCTAGGCACCACGATGGCCAAGGCCCTGCCCCAGGGCATGCTGGGCACAGCACTGGTGAAGGCTCTGTCCTGGGGCGAGCTGGGCACTGCACTGTCCTGTGCCCTTTCCCGGGGTGAGCTGCAGGCAGAACTCACGAAGGCCATACAGGGCAGACTGGTGGATGTGCTCTGCAAGGTCCTGACAGAGGAAGACCGGGCTGCCCTGAGCCAGGCCGTGTGTCAGGGTGAGCTGGGCACCGTCCTGAGCCAGTCCTTGTCTCAGGCGGCCCTCCTGACTGGACTTGTCCTCCCTAAGGCCACCTCGAAAGCATTGGGAAGTGGGATGATGGTGACGCCGGTCCCAGTGGAGGTGGACTCCAGGGAGAGCCGGTCAACTGCGTGGGGGCCCACCGTGGGCCGTGTGAGACCACAGCTCAGCAAGGTCAGGGTTCCCCAGGGTGGGGCCTGGGAGAGCGTTGTCACAGGCGGGCCAGCCGGGCTGTTGGAGGAGATGGGGGATGGGCCCGTGGTCAGGAGGTCACCCTGCTTGTCCGGGGTCTATGTGGGTGCCTCCTTGGTCACTAGGTTGATCACCACCATTCTCCATTTTCCCCTGATTGCTGTTTTGGACCCCACTCTGTCATGGGATAAGGGTGACTCCTCCGTACACCCGGGGGTGGGCGAATCGGCATCAGATCTCCGCTCAGGGTGAGTGACGCAGGCCCCACTTTGCCTGAGCCGCTCCCCTGCAGCCACCCCGCCCTCTGTGACAGCTGCTCATTGCCAATGGCGTGGCCCCAAGCTCCCACAAACCACATGTGGCCAGCAGGACGGCCCCATACCTGTCAGCATCACTGGGGGAGGACAGGGTGGCCCCAGGCACGCTTGCCAGCACTGTGGGTGGTGGGAAAACCATCCACTCCCACCAGTTTGTCACCACCTATAGGGGGGGTCTGCTTATTGGTGTCAGCCCTCCGGGGTCACCTGGGGGGACCCCTGAGGTGTATCAGCCATCAGCGGCCAAAAGTCTGCAGCAACCATTCTTGGTCCCTGTGGAGACCATGCAGAGGACTCAGTCCCCAGGTCAGACACAGGTCTCTGTGGGCCCGAGTGAGACGACCAACAAGATGACCACAGTGAGTCCCCCAACTCGACCACAGACCCCCAAGGCACCCAAACACAACAGAGCATTCCGCTGCCTGGATCCATGGCTCCTGGTCGTCTCTGGGCATTCAAAAGTCAGGAGACTCTAGTCTGTCGGAAGCCTCCCCAGAAAGCCAGTTAATGCCCACCCTTGCCCACACATCCATTCGAGAAGAATTGAACACGGGTATCATTTCTGGCACGTGCTGCCTCAAGGGTGGGGCCTGGCTGCTCTCAGGCTTTAGTGCCCAACAGACTGGGTCTGAGTCCATCCAAATTTTCCCTGGCCAATGTGGGCGCCAGCATATCTCAGGTCAAGGTTGATCAATGGGGACCACCAGTGTCTTATGTCCACGGTCACCACATCCAGTTACCAACAATCAAATGCTTTCACCAGGAGCCTGTAATGGGCATGGCCAGTCTTCTGGGGCCAGGTTTTGTAGCCAATAGGGTGACCACAGCTGGGGCCCCAGGTACTGTGGTTCGTGGCAAGGCCTCCAGCTTTCCCACAGGGTCTGAGATCAATTGTGTGGCCCCCAGCCTTCCACGAGGTTATACGGTCAATTGTGTGGCCCAGACCCTTCACCCGTGATCTGTGATCAGTGGCCTGGGCCAGGACCTTCCTCCAGACCCCATGGCCAGGGCTGTGGTCCACAGCCTTTCTCCAGGCTCTGTCATCAGTGGTGTGGCCCACAGCTTTCCTCCAGTTTTCGTGGCCAGTGACGTGGCCAGGACCCTAGCTCCAGGTTCTGTGGTGAGTGGGGTGCCCCCCAGACTGATTACAGCACCTGGTGCAGGTGGGAAAAGGCAAAGTCTCTCTGTAAGACCCTGTACTAGTAACCTCTCCAAGACTGCCCCAGGTTCAGGGGTGAGTGGGGTGGGCTGAAGTGTCTCTTCTGGTTTTATGGCCTCTAGTGTGGTCGCAGAACTTATGACTGGGGGACTGAGTCAGAGCCTGGTCTAAGATCCGTGGCTAGTGTGGCTAGTCCACCCTCCACAGTCAGAAGCATGACTCTCAGCCTTCCCCAGGGGTCCAGACTCATTGGACTCACCTCCCATCTTTACCATGGAGGGCCCTGAGGACGGGTCTGCATCCCCCTTCCAGGCATCCCATGCCGCTGGCCTGGCTCAAGCTCCTCCCCAGGCCTTAGAATCTAATGGCGGAGCCAGAGGAGGGCACCGAGTGCCCATGGTAGCAAAGAGCCTCACTGTTGAGCCACGTTCATGGGACAATAGCCTCTGAGACCAGAGATGGCCAGGCCATGATGAAGCCAGAGACCTGGACGAGGCTCTCTCCCAGGAGTCCTGATCCAGTAGGGAGTCCATGGTCCTGGAGGCAACCCCATGGATGTCTGAGAGTCCCCTGTCCCCCGATGTCGACTACGACCATGACTTCCTGGCAGAGGACAAGACTCCAAAGGCCAAAGGCCGTCGGAGGAGGAGGCAGCTCCCAGCTGAGCCGAGTCTATGATGAGTGGCATCGCCCCTGTCCTTCCCCAGCCTCCAGGCTTTGCACACCAGGGCCAGCAGTGTCCCCCGAACTCTGCCGCAGAGGACAGACACCAGCTGGAGGGCCCCTAGTTCCCACTTTGTGACTTCTCATGGGGTCCCCGGTGTGCAAATGAACACAGGGCCCCCTGAGCTCATAGGCGTCAGTGGCTCACATTGTCCCCCAGAGCCTCTTGGCTGCTCACATGCCCGGGAGTCATTCCCATGGGATGGTAGCTTCTACAATAATATCAAGGTCGCCTGAGCTGGCCCATGACAGGACTGTGGCATCTAGTTTCTGCGTCTGGGATGGGGGGATCCCAAACACTTCCCAGAGGTCAGGGCCACCCGTGTGGCCTCGTGTGCTGCCGTACAGTGTAAGGCCAGTGGGGCGGCATCCCGTGGGTTCCAGTGCATTTTGGAAGCCAGTGTCGGGGAACCTGGCTCAGAGCAGCCACCATGACCTCCTTGGCCCTAGAGCAGCGGTTCTCAATCTGTGGGTCGTGACCCCTTTGGCGGTCAAATGACCCTTTCACAGGGGCCGCCTAAGACCATCCTGCATATCAGATATTTATATTACGATTCATAACAGTAGCAACATTACAGTTATGAAGTAGCAACGAAAATAATTCTATGGTTGGGGTCACCACATGAGGAACTGTATTTAAAGGGCCAGAAGGTTGAGAACCACTGCCCTAGAGAATCCTACACATCCTTGCATAGTAGCTCTGCCTCCGGAAGGCTAGATGGTTCTGTGGCCAAGACTGAGCCCTCCCAGTAGGTGGCGGAGCATGCCTCCAGGTCCCTCAGGAAGACCCCCAAGGCTCCATGGGTGCCCTGCCGTAACGCCAACGATCCCTGCGGCCATCTGGTGCACGACATGGCCATCCCTAGGTTGCACGACGAGGTTCAGAGGGGGTTTCTGGGTTATGAATCTTCACCAAGTGGTTCCTGGCAGCCCCCTTTTAACCGGGAGTCGCTACGGGGACCTCGGGATCTGCATAGCACCATGGCTCCTGTGGACAGTCACAGGGCACCTCTGACTTCTGCTTTACTCCAGGGCCCCGTGGACGCTGGCGTGGCTGGTGGCCAAACGTGGAATCCCACCATCCCCGGTGCTGCCGTTGGGCCCATGGAGGGGGCCAAGACCCCCTGCGGTGCATGGAAACCAGCCAGGTGCGATGTGCCGTGGGCTGCCATGGGCAGGGAGGCGCTGGTGGATCCCAGACGGTGTGGGGAGCTGGTGACGTCAGTTCAGACTGTGGAGAAGATAATAGTGCAAGCCGTGGTCGTCATACAGGCGTGTGCACGTGGCTACCTGGTGCGCCGTACCATCAAGGTGTGGCACCGGTGGGCTGTCGTCATCCAGGCTGCCTGGCGTGGCTACTGTGTGCGGCGGAACCTGGCCCAGCTCCTCAAAGCTGCCACGGTCATCCAGGCCACATGGCGAGGCTACAGCTTCCGCCGGAACCGAGCCCGGCAAATGCTGCTCCCCCGCACCTGGGCTGAGGAGAGTGGCAGGACCACGTCCACTTCCGACCACCGCTGCTTCCAGTCCTGCCGGCCGCACGACTGCACCCTCTGCCAGTCGCTGAGGCCCCGGCTGGGGAGCCCACCCAGCGCCGTGATGCTCATGGGTTCCAGCCCCCGCACGTGCCACATGTGTGGCCACACCCAGCCCACGAGGGTGGTGCAGGGCATGGGCCGGGGCACCACGGGCCAGGCGGGCAGGCTGAGGGGCTATGACACCCAGCTGAGCCCCCAGAGACCCCAGCAGCCCCGTGGCCAGAATAAGGCGGCCACGGTCATTCAGTCCATCTGGAGGGGCTTCCAGGCACGCCGCCGGCTGATGGAGAAGCAGGCAGCGGCCAAGATGCTGCAATCCAACTGGCGTGGCCACTACACCCGGTCCTCCCTCACCACGGATGCGCTTTTGAGGCCAGCGGCGTGGGACAACCCACAGAGCACGCAGTGGCCAGGAGTCTAGGACCTTGACCGCCCAACGGGGGACATCAGGGGCGGTGCCATGTGGCTCTCTCGGTCTAATGAATAAAGTTCTCCACAGCCTGGGCCTTGGTCTCTCTGTGCTCATAGCGGGTATCTTGGGCCTGGGTGTGGGGGGCGTGAGGGGAATCTGGAACACTCTGGACGGGGGGGACCCTAAAACTTTCAACCACTTAGTTGGCACCGAGGGTCTGTGTCTGGGAGAGGGACCCACGCCCTTCTCGGAGGTCAGGGGCCTCCCTGTGGCCGTGGAACCTGTCCATGACTAGTGGGGCTGTGTCCGTCGGCTCCCCGTGGAAGGTGTCCCTGACACACTCCAGAAGCCGGCGTCTGGCCCTCGTCCCTCGGCCCTAGAAAACCCCACGGTGACTGCATGGGGCCTAATTCAGGAAACGCGAGGGCTTTCCAGCCAGGTACTAAGTTGGTGGGATGCTGGGCGCACCCGCAAGGGGCTCCAGTCTGAGTGAGAGGGAGCTGAACACAGATGTTCCCAGCCTGTGGGTGTCAGGGACAGGGCAGGGAGTGGGGAGGGGCTACAAGCACCCAGAGGGGCAGCCTGCTTGGAGGAGTGGCAAAGGGGAAGGTGGCATGGGTTCAGGCAGCTATGGAAGGGGCCACAGAGTGGGTGCAGGCTGCTGTGGGGAGGAGGACTGAAAGCAGCAAGGGGGTCCTGAAGGGATGGGCAGAATTTGAGGGCTTCTCGGTCATGGTTCAGGTGGGACTTTTAGGCGAGGTGGGCGTCCAGGTGGAGAGGGGGCCAGGTATGGCAACCCTGGGAAACGGTAGCACCCATTGGCCCTGTGTCCTGCGGCCCCACCTCCACCTCTCCCCTGGGCAGGTGTAAACACAGCCACCTGGCCACGCCCCTGGCCCCACGTCACACCTGTGTCCTGCACCCTCCCCACGCAGGAATGGCAGGCTCCCAGCTGCCGCCGCCCTTCTGCTGCTGGCTCGGTGCTGCTGCTGCAAACTGATGTGAATTTCTCTGCTTCCGCGGACACCCCTACAGGTGAGAGCAGGTCAGGAAGAAGGTGGGCCTCTCCATAGCTGGAGGGGGCCGTCCTGCCCAGCCAGACACCTGGTGTCTGGGCCCTTTCCTCAGGCCAGGCTGGTCTGCCAGGCCCCCGCCCCCAGAAGGGCTGCTCCCCCCAGAAGCAAGGTGGGGGGTCATGAGAACAGCTGCAGCACCCCCACCCCCTCCACCGCCCCGACTCCAGCCTTGAGGATGCCACTTCTGCAGCCCCAGCTGACCTGAGCCAGTGAGAAGCTGTGGCTGCCTCATAGCCAGTTTGAGGTTCCATGTTCAACCTGTTCCTACTAGCCAGCCCGCAAGGGAAGGAGGACCCAGGGCCATGGGAAGGTGACACGGGCTCATTTCCTGGTCACGAAGCACCTGTGGCTCCCAGAAGCTCCTGGTGCCTGGTTGCCTTCTGCTGCCCTGCAGGACTGTTCCCAGGGTAAAGAACTGAACTTCTTAGTGAGATTTATTTTACAGTTGACATACAATATTATATTAGTTTCAGGCGTGCGACAGTGATTCAATAAGAGTTGAACTCTTGCATTGCCTCCCCTCCCACAAAACCATCACTCTCTCTGACCTGTGTACCTGCCCCAAACCTGTAATATCAGAGTGGAGGCCACCACGCATATGACACGTTTTGCAGGCAAGGGCTTCACTCGGAGAGCACCATATTTATCCCCATTTTATAGCTCAGGGAATCGGGGCTTATGAATCTCCCAGCCTGTGCCAGAGCTGGATTAGAACCGGCTGACTTGGCCCCGGCCAGCCTCCTGGTCTAGGGGTTTCTGGGCAAAGCAGACTCATGGCACAGTCCATAGAAATAGCTCCAAGCCCTGGCTGGGTAGCTCAGTTGGTTAGAGTGTAGTCCTCATATGCCAAGGTTGTGTGTTTGGCCCCCGGTCAGGGCACACACAGGAATCAACCAGTGAATGTATAAATGAGTTGAACAACAAATTCTCTCTCTCTCTCTCTCTCTCTCTCTCTCTCTCTCTCTCTCTCTCCCTCATCAATAAAAAACAAACAAACTTCATAAAAATAGAAATAAAAATAAACCCACTTTACCTCTGATCAGCTCTCCAGTAGCTCATGAGCTCCTGTCTACTCTGTGCCAGGCCCTCAGCGGAGCTTGTGTCCTCCGCTACCTCCTCTTTCAAGAATCACTAGTTTTCCTCAGTTCACTTTAAATTTTTAAAAAAATATGTTTTCATTGATTTCAGAGAGAGGAAGGAAGAGGGAGAGAGAGATAGAAACATCCATGATGAGAGAGAATCATCAATCAGCTGCCTCCTGCATGCCCCCTACTGGGGACTGAGCCGACAACCCCAGGCATGTGCCCTGACCAGGAATGGAACTGTGACCTCCTGGTTCATGGGTCAATACTCAACCACTGAGCCACACTGGCTGAGCTTCCTCGATTCACTTTAAAGGTTCAGCTCCCCAGAGTCCTGGCTTGGCTTCAAGTCCACAGTGGCCCCTGAGTCACCCTCATTTCAGCAAAAACTTCTCTTCATCTGGATTCTTCCTCAAATGAGGTGAGAGGCAGTTTGGGAAGGCTGGACTTTTTTTTGTTTTTTTGTTTTTAATATATTTTATTGATTTTTTACAGAGAGGAAGGGAGAGGGATAGAGAGTTAGAAACTGGAACACTTTTTCCAGATGGATACGATCAGCTGCCTCCTGCACACCTCCCACTGGGGATGTGCCCGCAACCAAGGTACATGCCCTTGACCGGAATCGAACCTGGGACCTTTCAGTCCGCAGGCCGGCACTCTATCCACTGAGCCAAACCGGTTAGGGCATGGGAAGGGAAGGCTGGCCTTTTAGTCCTTGACTCCTTAGAGGTCCTTGAGGGGCCCCCTTCCCACCTTCCTAGTTCCCTTAGGCCTCAGTTTCCCACCTGTAAAATGGGGATAAAGTCAGGCCCGGGCACAATGCCTCTCCTAGGCTCAGCTGTCATCCCCACAGGGCCTGGGAGACTGGACAGGGCAAAGTGGGTCTGCGTGTGGACCCAGACCCCTGTTGAGCCTGGTGCTGGAGGTTATTTCCACATTTCTGCCATCTGGGGGGTAAGAGAGGAAGCACGAAGATCCACTCGGGGCCGCGTGGACAGGGTCGATGCATGAACTTGCAAGCAGCTAAAGTGCCCAGCAGCCTGGACCTGGGAAGGAAGTAACTGTAGGAGGTGGCCCATGAAATATTTACCCACCCTCGGCCTGGCCCCAGGGCTCCGTGCTGGGAGAGTCAGGAGCCAGGGAGCAGCTGGAACAAGGTTGGGGGCGGAGTTTTTCAGAGCTTTGACCCCCTGACTATTCCCTGCGCCCAGGCCTCTACCCCCTCCCCATTAGAACTCTGAGTTTGTCCTGACCAGAGCTGAGCATTGACCTATGAACCAGGGATCAGGGTTCAATTCCCGGTCAGGGCACATGCCCAGGTTGTGAGCTCGATCCCCAGTGTGGGGCGTGCAGGAGGCAGCCGCTCAATGATTCTCTCTCATCGTTATTCTCTCTCTCTCTCTCTCTCTCTCTCAAATCAATAAAAATATATTTAAATAAAACAAGAAAAATCTCTGAGTTTGGCCATGAGGACCTTCCGGGTACCTGCAGAAGATTAGGGCTGATCCTCTCTGGGGAGCTCCGAGGGGCCTGTGCACCCACATGCGCGGGCCTGTGTAGCTCTCAGAGGTGCTGGCTGCCAGAGGTGCCCATTTTACAGACAGAAGATCCTTTGAGTCCCAGAAGGTTTGAAAGAGTCACCCAGAGTGCTGCCTGGGTCCAGCCATTACTTGTACCCAGAGAGCTTCTGGGGCCCCAAAGCAAGAGGGGGGCTGGGAGAGTACGACGGGACTGGAGCCCGCACTGTGGGTTCAGACAAAGAGCTCCGTACAAGGGCACTGCCTTTCCCACTGAGCACTGAGGTGGCGAGCGAACTCCCCCAGGCCCCCTGGGCGCAGGCTTACTCTCTGAGGGAAGAGGGAAGAGGCATCCAGAGAGGCTGGCCCGGGTCCCCCACCCTTGCCCCTCATCGTCCTCTCCCTGTGCCCTCTGGTGTTTGCTTTCCGATGTTGGGAGGGAGCTGAGACCTCGACTTCCAAACCCTGGTCTCCTTTTCCCTCCAGCTGCAGCTTTCCTAGTTCAGTGGAACCCGCCACCCCTCACTCCAGCCCCCCACCCCACCTCTAGTTCAAGGGCAGACTCCCCGACCTCCTCTACAGCCTCTTAAATTCAGAGGTAACCCCCACCATCCAGTCCAGCTCCAGCTCCACAAATTTAGGGTGGGTGCCCACGGCCCCACAACCAGAGACAATCCCCCACCCCGATTCTGGCTCTCCAGCTCAGAGCTCACCCCCACCTCCCACTCCTGCCACCCGAGTTCCACCTCCTTGACCCTGCACTCGAGCCCCACTTCCCGTGCCCTTGGCCACAACTGACTGTACCTCTGTGGCTCTGTGCTTCTGGGAAGTTGAGGGGGGGTGGGGGGTGGGGGGGTGGAATGGCTGAGGTTACCAGGCGGGTTATAAGTAAATTCCATATTTGTTTATCAAATAACAAAATAGAACAGAATAAAGGGTTGGAATATGAGTACAAATGGTTTAAATTTTTAAAAAGTGGCCAGTAAAGGTCTCGATTTGAAAGAGTTGAGGGAGGAGCCACAAAGTTATCTAGGGGGAGAGCAGCCTAGGCAGCAGGCACAGCCTGTGCAAAGGTCCTGAGGTAGGACTGTGCCTGGTGCATTTGAGGAAGAGTGAGGTGGCTGGAACTGTGAGTAGGGTACTAGCGGGGAGGCCGTGAGGGTGGGAAGATTGTACAGTGTGACCATCCAGGACCCCAGGGGTTCAATAGAGGCCAAGAATTTTTAGAGGCATCCAGAAAAATTTGTTACTCAAACTACCATGTTGTCTCCGGAATGTTCAGAGAAGAGTGCAAGCACTAAGTGTGATGAGCTTTTGCTTAAAGTCACAGGATAGAAACCACCTTCTCGGAGTGCCCCATTTCTTAGGATCACCGGAAGGCCGCAGCGTTTGTAAACGGAGTTCTAGATTTTTC